ACTCACTGCTGCCTGAAGGCAGCGGATGCTGGGTGACGGATACCAGGGGGCAGTGCCGCTGTGACCCCAGGCCGCTCCCCACTATGGCCAGTCTTCTCTGGGTCAGTCCCGCCTCCCTGGCTCCTGGGGTGGGCAGCCAGAGCCAACCCAAGACAGAGGGATGCTCTTCCAGGCTCCACGACATGCCCGGTCCCTGTCTCTGTCCCTGTCCATGCCCCCTCCCCACCTCCTCCCCTTGCTGCCAGCCAGGTGGCATCACCTGTCACTGGCTGCTCCTCCTGGCGCCCAGAGCTCTGTGGCTCAGCCAGGGAGCAGGCCGGCCACCGGGCTGAGGCTGAGGCTGAGGGGGCGGGAGGGCCTTTGAAATGTTAATAGTATTTTGACATCTGGGCTTGTGACATCCACCCTAATGACATTTGGCTCAGGCTGACAGCCCTGGACATGTGGGGAGGGAGGGAGACAGATGATAAGTCGTTTTAAATTGCAGCGTGGCAAAGTGGCTGGAAAATCCTGAGTCTTAAGAAACAGCGAGAGAGGGAAGGAGGAGGAGAAAGTAGAAATCAAGCAGGAGAAAGTGGAAGGCTTTCTCCGGGGTGGTCAGTCCTTCCACCAGGCATGTGGCAATCCCAGCACTCGCAGGCTGAGGCAGGGGGATTGCCGTGAGTTCGAGGCCAGCCTGGGTTACAAAGTGAGTTCAAGGCCAGCCTGAACCATATAGTGAAACGCTGCCTCAAAGAAGATCAAAACAAACAAACAAACACACACAGACAAACACACACAGGTGACTATTTATTGAACGCCTAATATATGCTGCACACAGTTGAGGGTTAGGTGTTTGAACTGGCTGTGAGCCCCTCTTGCCCATGTCTGGCAGCTCCTCTGAGGCCTAATTCAAGGTCCTGTTTTGGAGGCCCCAGCTCGGTGACTCACACTTAGGTCACAGCAGGCCGCGGATGGCCTGTTGTGGTGCGGGGCAGGGGCTAGGCAGAGACCCCTGCTTTGGAGGCCGCCCCCCAGCAGAGCAGGACTCGGCCTCTTCCTGCCTCTCCCCTGCCCGCTGTGCCCCTGATGGGCCCCTCTTCTCCAGAGGGAAGCGGAGTCCAGGCAGCAGGGCGGATGGATGGGAGGAGGCCGGGTGTGGCTTCTGGGTTCCTGTAGTTCCCAGCCCCCCCCCCCCCCCGCATCTCCTCCCTCACCAGCCTCCTGGCAGGGAAACTAAGGCTGAAGATGGCAGAGGAGGTGCCATCCTCCAGCCGGGGAGCTCGGGGCAGTGAGTGGAGAAGCCAACGCAGTCCCCCGCTAGGCGCTCCCATGGGCCCCTTCCCTGGGCCTGGGCGGGGACAGAGTATGTGGGTGGGAGCCCTGGGCTGGGCGGTGACAGGGCCTCCAGGCCATCATGTGTGTGACAAGTGTGGAGAGCCCAGCAAGCTCGGCGCTGGCCACCACCCCTGTGGGCCTGCGGGACAAGCAGATTATTGGGGCTCCTGGGGGTCACTCTTCCTGTGCAGGGAACATTTCCCGATATCCCCTGGGATGAGGCCAGGAGTGGTAGGGACCCCCAGACGCACGGTGGGAGTGGTGGCCCCAGGGTTCTCAGCCTGGGCTGTTCCACCCGCCCCCAGCCCTGGCTGCCGCTCTGCAGGTGATTGGCGGCTCCCTGGGGCCTGGCGCCTGGCGCCCTCTCCACGGCCCACTGTCCATCCTGGAAATGGCTGCAGGGACGGACTCCCACATGGCCTATTCCTGGCTGACGGCCTGGGCTGGCGGTGGCAGGGTCATCTCAGCCTGGACCCTTGTCTGGGCCAGCCCATCTCTCCCGGGCCCTTACACCGTGCAGCTCACTGTGATTTATTTCAACAAACTCTGAATTCAGGACTTTCAGAGACAAGTGCCCTTTCTCCAGGAGGCTTCTTTCAAAATGGAGTAGTGGAAATTGCGGGTTTGTGGGTGCGGATTGCTGCTGCAGGAGGTGAGCCCTTCCCTGCAGAGGGGAAAAAAGAGCTTTAGAAGCATGGGCCACAGCGGGAGGACGCGGTCCACCCTCAGGAAGGACTTCTGGGTCACAAGGTGTGAAGTACCACCTGCCTCTTCCTCTCCCCCAGCCTTTTCTGCTGGAGTTTGGAGAGGCTGCCTCTCTTTCCCCGGGGGAAGCCCATTGTGTGCATGGGGTTAGAACTCCCACTCTGAGCAGGGCTTGTAGGTACAGGCTTACAGTCCTAGCACTTTGGGAGGCTGAAGCAGGAGGATCTCGAGTTTGAACACGGCCTGGGTAATTTAGTGACTTAATGAGACCTTGTCTCAGGGGTCCCGGGTCAGCCTCCTGTAAAGGTTTCCAAACTGAACTCATCTCATCCCAGAGTCCTTTGACTTCTGTCCAACCCCCCATCTCAGAGATGGGGAGACCAACGCTCAGCAGGGCTCAGGTGACACAGCCTCAGTGCGGCGGGCAGAGCTGGAGGGATGACAGGAGTCCCAGCCTGGCCAGGAGTGGTCTCAGGCGACCCAGGGGGGAGGCCGGAAGGACCAGCACCCCGCTAGGCCCATAATGTCAGCCACCAATCCGGTGACAGCGTTCCTGAAAAATACAGCCGGCCCAGCCTTGCCACACATTGGTGGTGGTCGTGGTGGGGGAGATTCCTGCCCGAGCCAGGCAGGCCAGGGCCCGGGGCCACTCAGGCCTCAGTTGGTGCCTGTTCAGTCACCGGTGCCTGCTTCGTGGCCCTGCATCTGCCACCCACGCACCCTGGGATGGTAAAGGTTATATTCGGTGCCAAGAGCCGGTGACCCCACTTATGGGCACTAGGGGCACTTGGGGGGAGGGCTGCGCATGTGCATTTTACGTCCTTCTCACTAGGCCCCTGGCCCCAGCCTGTGGGGGTGCAGGCCTCCCAGTGCGCCAGAGCCAGGAGCCCCCATTCTCAGGTCCGACTCAGCTCCAGAATGGGAAGAGTCCCCTGCCCAAACCAAGGCTGCTGGATGGGCGCTCCCTGCGCAGACAGCTCTACAGACCGGAAGCCGAGGACATCGGACAGGTACATTGGGCTCCCTGGCGTCCCAAGGACGCGGCCTCTCCAAGAACAACTGGACTCCACTGCAAGCTCAGCGCGAGACTTTCCCGCCTGTCTTTGTAGAGCACCTCCTGTCAGGGCCCAAATGGCTAAGGGGTGCACGCACCCCTCTGGGGCAGGATCCATCATACTGGGTCCTGTGTCCTTTCCCAGGGCTGTGGGTGGTGGGTGGGGAAGGTCTGTTAGGGCTGGTTGTGCACATGCACAAGAGGCGCAAATGAATCGCGAGCGAAGGGTCTAGGAAGCATGTCTGTGGGCCATTGCACGCGGCAGCAAAGAACACAGGCTTTGCCAACAGTTACTCATTCACCAAACCCTCTTGGTGTTCACTATGGTCCGGGCCAGTGCCAGGCACTGGGTGAAGGATGGTGTGCCAGATGTGGCTCTGGCCTGCGGGGACTGGTGGGCTGGAGGAGGTGACCCCGCGGGTCCTGTGGGCAGGGCCGGGGCACCGGGTAAGGGTGCAGAGGAGAGGGCTATTCCCAGACTGGACGTCCCTCTGACCTAGGAACGCTTATCAGTGGGAATCGATTTGGCTGGTGAGGGGACAGAATATCCCTGGGCTGAGCCACAAACAGAAGGTGGCACTCTGTGGGCCAGCCAGGAGGCCCAGGTACCGGCCTGGAGGTGGGGGTGGGGCAGCCTCTCAGGCCCTGCCACCCCACTGTTTTCCCTGGCTTCCTGGCGCTGTGCCACGCATCCTCCTGGGACGAGGACGCTACGTCTCATTGAGCCTCCCGCGCCTCCTCGCTGGACTCCTCTTGGGCCAAGCCAAGGCCCTCTGGGAAGGATCGTCCGGCGCGGCGCAGCTTCTGGGCTGGGGGACTCTCCAGGGTCCCTGCAGCGCGTCCAAGCCACCTGTTGTTACACTTTGCAAACCAGCGCTGCATCCAGCTTGCTGGGGACCCGCATGACCCTGGGGTACCGAGTGCTGGGTGTTTGGTAGAAAGCGTCCCTTCCCCCATGCGCTATGAGACCCGCGGCAAGTAGAATCACCTCACCGGCCGTCAGTCCCCGCTTTTCCTGTGCTTGAGCCAGGAGCGGTGGGGTGCACGCAGGAACACGCCACACGGGGGCACATGCCACGTGCGCCGAGGTAGGAGAAGTGGCTCTGGGGTAGGGGCTCTGGTGTCGCTCGGGGTGGGAGCTGTGCGCCCCTGGCGTCCCGTGATCTGTTGTACTTTTCGGGGTGTGTGTGTGGGGCTGTGTTCCCTGAACCTCGACCTGGGGACGGTGAGGAGGGGTCTCCGCATATCCAGGAGTCGGCGTGCTGGCGCGTGCACGGGGAGGTGGGGGGACGGGGGCTTCCAGGAGAGGACGACAGTGGGGTGCGGCGGGCGGGGGAGCAGCCGGCGGGGCGGGTGGCGGCGCGGCCCCGGGCTTCCGGAGGTGGAGGTGCGGGCGGGGTGCGCCGGGGTGGGGTGCGCCGGGGTGGGGGCGCCCAGGTGTTCTCTCTTTAAAAGGCCTGCGGAAGCGACGCGCGCCCGGCCCGCAAACTTGCGCCCGGCTGCGCCTCCTCGGTGCGGCGCCGGCCCCGGCCCCGGCCCCGGCCCCGGCCCGCCCGCGCCCCGCCCCGCCCTCCGCAGCCTCCCCTCGCGCTCCGTCTCCGCTCCCTCTCCGCCCGCTCTCCGGCGCGCTCTCTCGCGGGCTCGCTCGCATTTTCTCCCTGTGCCGCCGCCGCCGCCGCCGCCGCCGGGCGCCCGCTCCCGGCCGGCTGCTCCCGCTCCGCTCCCTGCCCGCTCCAGAGCCCGTGGCCGGACCCCGCTCCCGGGCCGCCTGCGCGCACTCTCCGGTTCGGACGCGGGCTCCCGGCGGCCGCGGGGGCAGGGCTCGCCGCCTCCCCGCTCGTTCTCGCCGGAGCAGCCGCCGAGCGACCGCCAGCGCATCCCCGCCGCGCCCGGGACTCCGGGCGGCTCCGCGCGCGGCTCGGTCCGCAGCGTCAGCGCCTCCCGCCGCGGCCCGGCTCCGGGCACCGCGAGAACCGAGCGCCCGGCCGCCGCCTCCCCGCACCCCCGGGGCAGCGGGGCGCGCAGCCGACCTCTCGCTGCCGCTGAAGCCTCGCCGGCGCGCGGTGAGTTGTGGCCCAAGGGGCGCCTGCAAAGGGGGCCGTGCCTCCGGCCTCTGGGGCGCGGGCTGCGGGCAGGACACCGGGCTAGGGAGGTGGCCTCGGGCGAGCTCCCACGCTCCGGGTGCCAGGAGGAGGGCCGGGGACCCGGAGCCTCGGGGCTGGAGGGCGCGGGACCTAGGCTGGGGGTCTCCCCTCGAGACTGCGGCCACCTCTCCGAGTGGCCCTGGGGAGGGAAGGGGCACTGCTTGTTGTTTCTTTGCAGGTCTGGGGGAAAGTAGTGTGTGCCAGGCTCCAGCGGCGGAGGGTCGTGCCAGCTCCCGGTGGGGCGGTGCATCGGGCGCCCCTCTGCGGAGAGCGGGGCCGGCAGGCGCGGGCGGCATCTGCACCCCTTCTCCGCGGTCTGCTGGCCGGCGGGAGGGCAGCGCCAGCCTCGCGCGCCGCGGCTGCTTCCCCAGGCGCCGCTCCGGGTCCGTTGCCCGCCCCAGCGCCGCCTTCGCCACGGCCGGAGCCGGGCAGCCGCTGGCCCGCAGCCGCAGGCTTGGCCGGGGCGGCGCTGCGGGGCCGGGTCTCCCCGCGCCCCGGGACCTCAGGGTCGGGCTCGCCCCAGACTGTCGGAGCCGACCGTGCCTCCCCGAGACCCCTCTCGCCCCAGCCCCTCGCGCCGCCCGGCCGTGCGGCTCCGAGTGTGCAGGGCGCGCGCCGCGTGTGCTGGGGGGAGGTCCCCGCGCGGGGTCGGTCTTTCCCGGGGCTCGCGGGCTGCAGGTGTCCCCTCCCCGCGCGGGGGCGGGGCCGGGAGCCCGGGGCCCCTAAGCGAGAGGCGCCCCCGCAGCCGGCGGTCGGCAGTCGCCAGTCGCAGGCTGTTTGTGCCGGAATCGGACCGCGGCGGCAGGGAGTCCTGAGCCCGAGCGTTCGAGCGCCCCCTGCCCCTAGGCCCCGTGCGACACCCTCGCCCTCAGCATGGCGCCCCCTTGTCGTTCTTGCTGTGGGCCAGGGAGAAAGCTGGCTCGGGAGCGGTGGACTGAGCTGGGCTCGTGGGACCCGGGTGCCCGGAGCCCCACGTTTGTCTGTGCGGTGGCCGCCCTATCAGTGACAGGAAGCCGGAGGTGATGGGGGTGGAGGGTGTGTGTCCCCATCACGGCACACTTAGTCCATTTTGCTGTGTGGGGACTCAGGGTTCAACAGTGTCCACTGAGCCTCGCGTCCAGCCTACATGCTAGCATACTTGGCAAGGACCTTGGCCGCCAGCATCTCCTGCTCAGGATGTGCCTAGCTGCCTGCGGCCCCGCGGCCCAGAGCTTCGGTGGAAAGCAGGGGACTTGAGGGGACTCCTGTGGTGCAGAGAGCCGAAGAGTCTGCAGCCCCCTGGGAAGCGATCCCAGGGAAGAAGCCTGGTTACCGCTGGCAGGTCTCAGAGCCCTTGTCCCTCTCTCTGGCCTCCTGGGAACCCCTTCCTGGAGAGTCCTGCTGGCCCTTGGGCAGTGTCCTATCTGTGGTATGGGAGCTTTCAGGGATGTCCTGTGCGGGCCGTCCTTGTCCCCGGGATGGACATGTCTGCCTGCTTGCTAGTGAGCTGGCCATATCTCGCCTTCCCCTGGTATTTGTCCTTTTGGATTTAAGCTTTCTCCACCTGCCAACACCTTCACACTGGCAGGAGCAGAGCACCCCAAGAAGCCTCCTGCCCCCAACGGCAGCAGTGCTTCAGCCCAAGAAGCTCAGGAGAAGTGGGGGGAGGCCACCTGCCAAGGCCCAGGTGGGAGCGGCAGGAGGAGGCGGAGACACCGGGAGGGAGCAGAGCTGCTCTGGCCTCAGTGGCCCAGCCAGGGCCCTGCCTCCTCCCCCTGTCCCCCCCTGCCCTTCTCCTCTGGGTGCTCAGCTCTCTCTGCTGGAAGCCTGAGGTGTCTGGGAGGAGGCTGGCTGCAAGGGTCAGGAACCTGGGGCCCAGGCCCAGAAGGGCCCTGAGGGGTCCACAGCCCAGGCTACAGGCTCCTGGCCACACCCGTCCCACTGCCTGCACAGCTGGTGGGAAGCTGCCAGGACCGAGACTCCCGAGCATTATAATCACAGCTGATAGATGCGTCCTCATTGCTAGACAAGTGTGAAGCCAGCAGCCCCTAATTACCTCCCACCCCGAGGCATCTGTCCACCCCTGCTGTCCTCCTCTACTCGGCCTGGAACCCAGCTTTCCAGTGGGCAGGCCCGGCTGGCAGCCCGGATGGTGGGGCCTGCTGGCTGCCGGCTGGAAGGTTATCTTGCTTCCACAGAGTGGCAGCCGCTGCCGCCTGCAGGAGGCCTGGGGGAGCAGGCACCTGGGCTCGGCCCTGTGCGCTGGGGCTGGCAAGGGGCTGACCGGGGGAGAAAGCCGAGGGGCTCATCTTGGTTTGGTGGGCAGGGACTCCACCATCTTGGTGGGCAGGGACTGTGGCTCTGCCACTGGTGTTTTCAGAGTGTCAGCTTTAACCTGGTTAGCTGGGGCCGGAGGTGCACGCGCTGCTCCTGCTCGCTCTGGGCGCTGCTCGAGCCTCCGGCTGGTCGGCTGGCCGGCCAGCCCGGGCCTGCTGCCGTCCTCCCCAGCTCCAGGCCCCTCTTTGCCCAGCCAGCTTCCTTTTTTCTGTTGCAAGGCCCGGAGTCCCATGCACTGGGGACTTCTCCTTCTCTCCCTGCCCGCAGCTCCAGTGGGTCCTGCAGAAGTGGACCTCACCTACGGATGGAGGAACCCAGCTGGGTGTCCTTGTCACTTGTCACCAGCTCAGCCCAGAGCCCTGGCCTGCCTCTCCCTGTCTCTCTCTGCTTCTTGGAAAAAACAAGCATTGCAAGGGTAGTAAAAATTGCCCCTTAAATTAAAGCTGATGATGCCCGTTGAAATGTTTTATTATGAACCTCACCGTGGAGCAGTCTCACAGCGGCAGTGAAGCACAGATATAAGTGCACACACGTATATTAAATAAATTGGGGAACTCTCGTCTAATGACATTATCAGGACCCCATTCAATTAAGGTAGATATTATCTGCAGCCATTGGAAAGGACAGCCTCTGATGGCTGTGGGGGCCGTGACAGTGTTCCAGCTGAGCCGTGGCCCCTGCCTGCCGGAGCAGGCCCTGGCTGCTGGTCACTGCGATCAGCCCCAGGCTATGGCAACGGATGTGGACCTGGGACTCCCCAGCCGGCTGCTCACCGGGGCTGGGGCGCCAGCGTGGGGACCAGTGCCCTGGATTCTTCTCAGGGCTCCACACTCAGGCCCAGTCACCACTCTGCTCCCTAGGGTGGTGGGAACACACTGGGATCTGCCTTCTGGTCAGGGTGGGACTTCAGGAGAACGGGTCTGGGCTGCAGGACCCTCTGGGTTTGCATCTGGAAAGCGGAGGTTGCAGGCTCAGTCTGGACTCCAGAGCTGCTGGCCGCTGGTGGCTTCTCGGTGCATGGATGAGATTTTCACTCTGAAATGCAGCCGTGAGGGTTGGGGGCCATCCTGGTTAAGGCAGGGGGCCATGTTGTTTGGAGCCACGCTGGCACTGGGGCCCTCTGAGTGAAGGAGGGGGACAGGAAGAGGGAGGAGAGGAGGCGGCGGCGTTGGTGGCAAAGCCCACAATAGCGCCAGCTGCCAACAAAGACACCTGGCCTCTTGGTCCCGTGCTGGGAAGCTAGGGAGGGCAGTGGCTGGGCAGGGCTGGGGTGGAAGGACAGGCCTGGGCACCCCGGGGCTTGGCTCTGGGAGAGTGAGAGGTCATTTCTTGACATGTCTTGAGCTGGAGCCATGGGTCAGAGGGCTGAGGGGGCCGTCCGGGGCCTGGGCTTTCTCTTGGCACGAGTTCCTACCTGGTAGCATGCTCTGAGATCTCCAAGCCCCTCCTAACCCTGACACAGTGGCCCCTGGGTCCTGCTTGGGTTTGACTGGACTGTCCCTCCAGCTACATCTCTTCTTCAGTCATTTCTACCTTGCTGTGCTCTCAGCCTTGCAGGCCTCTTGCTGGTCCTTAACCCTGACGGAGAAGCTCATGTAGACCTCAGGCCCTTTGCATCTGCTGTTCTTGCAGCCCAGGTGGTGCCTCTCCTAGGTGTCTTCAAGGTCTTTGCTGCTTTTCCCTCTGACTGATTGTCACCTCCCCTGGGAGGCCTTACCTGATTAGCCTCTTCCAAAACAGCCTTCTGGGTCTTTCTGAGCCTTGTTTTCTTTCATGACCCCCTGAATAGCTTCTCATCTATGCCCACCCCTCACTGTGCTGTCATCTCTGTAGGTGTCTGCCCCACCACCTGCACAGGCGGGACACACAGTGGGTACCATATCACGTGATCCTGGCAGAAGGAAGAGTGGTCTGCACTCAGCCAAAATGAGGCCGACAGAATCTGAGGCTAGGCCTGATCCCTTTTGGTGGCCCGGAAGAGCTGCTCAGGCTGCCTGTGGCTCTGCCTGGACCTTGGTGCCTGCATTGGCTGGGGACCTGGCTCTGCCTGTCACTAGCCGCACTCCTGCTGTGCCTGACCCCGGGATCACCCAGGGTTTGCAGGGGTATAGAGGGCACTGGCTACACAGGCCTGGGCTGTAGACATCAGTGACAGCCTTGAAGGGCTTGTGACGCTGGCTGCGGAGCAGGAGGTCTCACGAGTTGGTGTCATCAGGGTAGACTTCCTGGAGGCGGCGGCTGCTCAGCTGCTGCTTGGGTGGCCAAGGGGAGCAGGGGCCCTTGGGTTAAAGTTCTCCTGACCTGAGTTCCCACTGGCACGGAGCCGAGCCTGTTCCCACCAGCCCGCCTCGCGGGTTTCGCCTGGGTGCCGGAGAGACCCAGGTGCCTCCATGTCAGGGAGGAGCAGGATGGGGAGCCGGGCCAGGGTTCCCACCTTGTGAGGGCTCCGGCCCAGGCTGTTCTCGGCAGGCCGCTGGGGTCGGCAGGTGCTGGCTGCTCCTGCACCTGGGCCAGCTGGGGACAGCCGGGAGTGGATGAGGCCGGGTGACAGCCTTGTCCCCTCGGTAAGGGACAGTGAATCAGCCACAGCTGTGCCTGGCTGAGGGGTTAACGGCCGCAGGTGGCAGAGAAGGGGCTCCGGCTCCCCCTCCCTTGGGGGACCTGTGACTTCCCCAGGCCCGGAGGGCTGGGGTGTGGTGATGGGGTCTACAGGCTCCCACCTGGCCCCACCATCTGGCCTGTCCTTACGGCCCAGCTGTCTGGACCCAGCGCAGGCTGACAGCGGCAGGCCCTCAGCCTGGGAGCAGAGTGCAGGGTGCATCTGCTCCCCACTTCTCTGCCTTTTATCCTGGTGTCTGGTTCTTCGGGAGAGGAGGGAGCGGTGGGGGAGACTTGGCCTGGCGCCCCTGGAGTCCCCTCCTCTGGGCTCGGCCTGTGGAGCTGTGTGGTTTGCTGTCCTTCCTGGCTGGAGAAGCACCCACTCCTTCAGACTTGGGGTGCTCCCTGAGGCACTGTCCTGGGGCCTCCCCATCCTGATGGTGGTGGGGGGCAGGGGTGGCCTGCAGCTGTACCCAGCTTCCCCCTCTGAATGGAATGTTCTGGAGAAGCCCCGCCCACCTGGGGGACGTGGGCGCCACCTTGATGTTTTGCCTGCCGGACCCCTCCCCGCCCAGTGCCCCAGGCTTCAGCTTATTTTGGAATTGGGGTGTCTGGGGCCCAGGGTGGGGAGGACCTCAAAGAAGGCCCCGCTCGCCCACCGTGCCAGGCAGCAGCAGGGGAGGAGGCAAGGGCGGCGCCCGCCCCCAGCGCCCTCGGCCTCTGCTCTCCGTGGCGCCTTTCACGCGGGGTATTTTTACTTTCCCCTTGTTCCCGGTCCACGATCAAAGGAGCAGGAGGGAGGCGGGGAGAGGCGGCCTGCGCCTGGCTCTTTGCAGGAGCTGGGGACAGACAGCCCGGGCAGGAAGGGGCTGGCGGGGGCCCTCAGGGCTCTTGGCCCTGATCCCTCTGTGCTTCCGGCTCTGGTCAGACCTGAGGCAGAAGCCAGTGTGGAGCCTCCCCAACCCCCTGCCATGAAGGCTCCCGGAAGTGGGATGCCAGGGTCGCCTATTCCTGGGAGCCAGTCAGGCCTCCCTGCAGTGTGCGGTCCTGAGCATGCGGGGAAGTGGCTGGTGCACTAAGCACCCAGGGCCTCAATTTCCCCATCTGTGAAATGGGGATACAATACTTCACAGTGCATAAGTGCAGTACTACAGCAGCGGCTGGGGCCTAGCAGGGTGGGGTCCTTGACTGTCACCCCTCCGAGGGGCACCGGCCTTGTGTGGTCAGGATGTCCCTCTGCTGCCCTCCGCATCCAGCTTGCACATGGGTCACACGTATGACAACTGAAAATATGCCCCACAGGTAGTGCGGCCCCAGGCTGGGTTTTACTCCAGCCAACCCATTTTACAGATTTGGAAACCCAACGCCAGGAAGGCTGTACTCACCTCCAGCCCCAAGGCAGTGGCAGGACTGTGGGGTTGTTGATGGCTTTTCCACCGTCTCTTTTCTGGATTGCCTGGTCAACAAGCAGCTCCCCACACCTCCCACTGCCTCCTGGGAAAGAGGCTGATAAAGTTGTCCCCACAGTGTGGCTACTCCTACCTGGACTTTAATGGTGTATAGCGGGTGAGAGTGCAGTGGGCTCCTGGGTGCCCTCAGGGTCCCTGCGCTGGGGTTTGCTGGGTGACACCGGAGAGTGTGCGATGTCCCTGGGCTCCTGATTTGCCTGCCTCCTTGGCCCTGAGGGGCTCACACAGAGGGAGTCAGAAGTGAGGTGAGGGTCCCGGGGCCGGGGAAGAGCCCAGGAGCTGGGGCTGGCCTGGGGTGCTGCGTCTCCTCTTTCCCTCCCCCTGGGCCAGGACTGGAGCAGCTCCCAGCCCACCTCGTGCCTTGATGGTGGTGTCTGTCCCAGCTGTCCAGGGAAACTGAGGCATGGAACAGACAAGTGCTCAGTGACCGTCACGGGACCAGCCCGTGGGGAAGGGGCCCTGCGGTGGCTCCAGCGAAGTCCTGACTCAGCCTCCAGCCTGTTCCCTGCGGCCTCCAGAGAGGAGGGAGGGAGGAGGCCTCGGGCTCCGAGTGAGGAGGAGGCTGGTTTGAGGGAACCCCCAGGGGAAATTAGCCCAAATTAGCAGTGCGGATGAGGAGGAGCTGCTGTTCTCGCCTCTACCCTTGCGGATAAATATTTAATCACAACAACAATAATGACGAGGATCATAATAATGTGCAGCAGCTCAGGCCCTAACCTGAGCCCCAGGGTCAGAGGAGGAAGTGGGTGGGGAGCAGGGGGACAAAGGAGAGGCCACGAAGGCCTGGAAGAGGGACCAGGAAGAGGACGAGGTGGGAGATGGAGACCCTGGGGTCCCGGCCTGCCCTCCCAGCTGCCCACCCTGCAGCATCTTGGATGATTTTGGTTTCTTCCCAGCAGGCCTTGCATGCCTTCCCGCCAACTCCCCAGAGGACACCAGGACCCTGGGCAGAGGGGCACTAGGGGCGCTCTGTCGCTCACCTGTGTGATTCGAAAACTGCGTTCTCAGGCCTCAGTTTGCACTTCTGTACAATGGGCTGGGCCCGGTGGGGCTGGCTTTCTGTCCTGCCTTGTGTGGAACTGGAGCAAAGCCCTGACCCTCCCCACCTTGGCCACTGTTCCTGAGGACAGTGCTCTGTGCTCCCGGCTTCTGAAGGCAGCAGGCCCAGGCCCTGGGCAGTCTTCAAATGTGACCTAATTTCTCCTTCAGCTCTCTCATCTCAACAGGAGTTGAGCTGCAGCCGGGAAGAAACCAAGTAGAGATTTATGGGGTCTTTGGGGAGCACCTCGGCATCGCCCTCTCCCGGGCTCCCAGTGGTAGGTCAGGGTAGCTAATGTCCAGGCTGTGTGTGAGTCTCTGTCTCTCTGTCTCCTTCTCAGGTTGGTAGAGCCCCTTCTTGATGCCAAGCTACGCCAAGCTGGGAACACTGAACCCTTCCCACCATTGTCCGCTGGGGCCAGGCCTGCAGGCTCGAGGGTCAGTGCATTGTTTGCCGCCGTCTGCGGGCCTGGACCTCGAGGGCCGCTGAACTCTGCTTGAGCACCCTGAAGGAGGCAGAGAGCCCCCCATCATGCTCGACCCTGCTCGGCCGTCCTGCTGCTGACGCCGCCCCGCGCATGCGCGTCCAGGCCGAGGGGCCGGGGGCCTGCCAGGGAAGATGCCCGGGAAGAGAGGCTGGGGCTGGTGGGGGGCCCAGCTGCCCCTCTGCCTGCTCCTCAGCTTCTACTGCCCCTGGGTGCCTTCCTCCCTGGGGAAGCCCAAGGGTCACCCGCACATGAACTCCATCCGCATCGACGGGGACATCACCCTGGGGGGCCTGTTCCCCGTGCACGGCCGGGGCGCGGAGGGCAAGGCCTGCGGGGAGCTGAAGAAGGAGAAGGGCATCCACAGGCTGGAGGCCATGCTCTTCGCCTTGGATCGCATCAACAACGACCCGGACCTGCTGCCCAACATCACGCTGGGCGCCCGCATCCTGGACACCTGCTCCCGGGACACCCACGCCCTGGAGCAGTCCCTGACCTTCGTGCAGGCGCTCATCGAGAAGGACGGCACCGAGGTCCGCTGCGGGGGCGGCGGCCCCCCCATCATCACCAAGCCCGAGCGCGTGGTGGGGGTCATCGGAGCCTCGGGGAGCTCGGTCTCCATCATGGTGGCCAACATCCTCCGCCTCTTCAAGGTCAGTGCGGTGGCCCCAGGCCGGCTCCCTTCTCCTCTCCTCCACCCTGCGAGGAGGCAGGGGCCCCCGAGCCTGTGCTGCCCCCCAGCCCAGCCAGGTCCCCGCTCCTCCCTGGGGACCCGAGGACAGACTGATGGACAGATAGACCGGCGGGTCACGGAGGTGCACACAGATCCGCAGACAGGACAGAAACAGGGACGCTGGAGGCCACCAGGCAGGGAAAGCCAGACGCTGGTGTCCACGTTGTTTTCAAACCGTCCAGGTTCCCAGACGGACGTCCAGGTTCCCAGACGGACGTTTCCTTTCCGCGTTGTCGAGGAGGCCCCGGTGGCCCTCCCGCCCACGCTGTGGGCACAGGCAGAGCTGTGCCCTCATTTTGAGATGGGGTGTGCGCCTGGGGAGCCCGCAGGAGGTGCGGATGAGGTGCCCCGGCCTGGTGGGGTGGCAGCCGCCCTTCCGCCGGCCAGCCCGCCCGCCTCCCCTGCGCCTCCCCTGCGCCTCCCCTGCGCCTCCCCTCGGCCTCCCCTCGGCCTCCCCTCGGCCTCCCCTCGGCCTCCCCTGCGCCTCCCCTCGGCCTCCCCTCGGCCTCCCCTCGGCCTCCCCTCGGCCTCCCCTCGGCCTCCCCCTGCACACCTTCCTCCCCGCCGGAGCCCCGCCCCGCCCCCGCCCGCCGCCTCCCTGCTCTGCTGATTTGCAATTCAATTGGAGCCAAGTGCTTCGCTAAGCTGCTAAAACAACTGAAAGCTACTGGGTGGAGAGGAAAACATTACAGGCGCTTCTCCAGTAATTCTGAGCCGCTTCCCTGCGAGCTGCCTGGGGTGCTCTGTGTGGGGGCAGGGAGGATGGGACGGGAGCGCTGGGTGCCTCCCTCACCCGGGGTCACGCTCCCGGCCTTCACCCTCCGCCCCTTCTCCCCTGGGCCCCAGATTTAGCAGAGGCCTGGGACCAACCGCATGGCGCCAGGCTCGTGGGGTGAGATAGCCCAGGGCCAGGCCGCTCACCTGGGTCCTTTCTAGAACCCGTTTACCTAAATCCCATGATGCTTTGGTCCTTGGGGGCGGCTGCAGGAAGGGGGGTGTGTGGGGGAAGAGGGGTCGGGGAGGGGAGAGGAAGTCGCCGAGTCGGAGAGGTGCAGGGTTGGGGGAGGGGTGCAGGGAGGAGGCTGGGAGGGCCGGAAGGGCAGGCCCTGGGGGGCAGGTTCAGCAGCGGGCCAGCCCCCCTCCACGCCTGCCCCTGCACTCAGGCTCTCCGTGGCCTTGTCCCGGGCTGTTGGTTTTATTTGAGGATGCGGATGAAAACACGATTTTAATTTTCAAACAAATGGATCCATCATGAACGCCAGATGTGTGCACAGGCCTAGGCTGAAGCAGGCGGCTCCAAAATCTGCCCTGCCTCAGGCGGGCGGGCAGGCCCTCTTGGGTCTGAGCTTTCTGGGGTCCCTGGAGGTGGCTCAAGGATGTGCGTCCCCCACCTCCCGCCAGCCCGCTGAGTCATCACCTACTCCCAGGCCTGAGAGGGGAGGAGGCAGCCTGGGTGGTGCGCAGCGGGGACAGCCGGGCACCCTGTCACCCATGGGGGGGCGGGGACCCCAGTCCCCTGAAGCCTGTACTGCAAGGGGGCCGTCGGGCACGTTCCCCTGTAGGCAGCAGTGGCAAATTGTGTGACAGCTGTGGCCTCAGGTGACATGGGTGGGTGGGTGTGGGCTAGAGGACCCCCTAGGCCGCAGGCCTGGGGTCAGGTGCTGTGGCCGGCACTCCCTGGTCCCCTTCTCCAATCTCCAAGCGCAGAGCTCCACGCCTGAGACCAGGGGCCTCCTCGAAGAGCTGGCGAGGGTTTAAAAGCCGCTCTCTGGAGCCAAGGACTGGACTCCAGGCGGTAGGTCAGACGCAGGTGCCATGCGGGGACCGGTGTGGAAGAGTGGGGGGCCACCTTCAGGTGTCCCCATGGAGTCGGGCTCAGTCTCAAACCAGGTTATATCCCTGACTTCCCTCCCATCTCTTCCCTTCATCCTCATCTCGGCCTTTTCTCCCGGGCTCCCGGGACAGGCTGGGGAGGATTGTAAAGAATTCCTCCCAAAGGGGCATGGCACACCTTGGGGATGAGGCCCACACAGAGACCCAGAGCACAGTGACCCAGAGTGGGGGCAGACTGGAGTCAGTCATTTATACTCTAGTGAGAATAAGCCAAATGGAAGACCTTTTCCTGGGCACAGCAGTCCTGCAGAAGAAAGAACAGAGTGCAGGACCCTGAAAGGAGGCAGTGGCCATGCCTGTGTAGGAGCTGACGGGAGTCCAGAAATCACTTGGTTTCTCAACATCCCTAGCCCTCCTCAAAGTTATTTATTTTTTAGATTTGGAGATAGGGTCTTAAATTGCTAAGCTGCCCGGGCTGAGTGGACTAGGACTTGTGATCCTCCTGCCTCAGCCTCCCAGGGCGCATAGATTCCATCACGCCAGCTCAGAAATCAGTTCGAGGCATGTGCTCATGTGTTTGTTTCCCAGTGAGCAAACCGAGGCTCAAAGTGGGGAGGGCGCCCGCCGGTGGGTGGGCGGAATGTGGACTCTGGACCAGACTGACAGCCGGGGCCTTTTTGTGCTTCGGTTTCTGGGAAGAGCTCGGGCCAGCCCTGTGCGCGCTCAGTCGGCCCGCAGGAAATGTCACTGCGTGGCTTGGCTCGGTCTGGGCCTCCCGCAGCGCGCGAGACTCCAGCGAGGGGAAGAGGACGGAGCGGGGGCGGTGACAGACGGTGACCTTTGCGGCTGATCCCGCAGAGTCCCCGCCATCTGCTGCGCCCTGACTTCCTGCGTGAGCACCGATCGGGCAGCAGCTCCGCTTGGGATCGGGCACGCGCCTGGGTTGCACTGTGGTTCTTGGGGAGCCGTGGGGCCCCATCCCACCGGCCTTGTGCCCCGTGGGGCTGTGGGTGCCGTCACAGCCCGGTCCTCCAGAGCAGCACGGGCGACCCTGGTCTCTGCGTCGCGGTTCTGGTTACGTCGTCTTGGGTCAGGGCCAGGGCCGGGCCTCCTGCCGTCCCCTTTCCCTGGTCTCCTGGCCAGGCCGTGCTTGCGGCTCGCGCCATCCTTGTGAACCCAGATCGGGGCTGCTGTCCCTCCTCGGATGGCACTCTGGCTCCCGTGAGCTGGGTCACAGCGCACACCCCTCGTGCTGTTGGATACGCAGTCATGTCGCTGTCTCCAGCAGCCCCCAGCCTTTTTTTTTGGTCTTTTTTTTTTCATTTTTATCGGTACCGGCGATCGAACTCACGACCACCTGCTTGCAAGGCAGGTGCTGATGCCGCTGAGCTAAATCCCCAGCCCTTAGCCCCCAGTCTTTGAAGTTCCCTGGAGATACCACCCCACTGTCTTTTATTGTATTTTATTTTATTTTTGAGACAGGTCTGACTATGTAGTTCAGTCTGGCCTTGAACTCACTATTAAGTCCAGGCTGGACTGGAACTTGCAGCAATCCTCCAGCCTCAGCCTCCCAAGTCCTGGGATTACAGCTGTGCACCACTGTCCCTGGCTTAGACACCTCCCTATTCTTTCAACCTCAGGGCCTTTGCACCTGCTGCCCGCACTGCCTGGAATCTTCTCCCCCCCTCTTTGAAGCTGGATCTTTGTCACACAGACTTACAAGCAGGGAGGCCTCTTTCCTTCCGTGACTGTGTTCCGTTTCCCTCCTTTTCTCCAGCAGGGAACTTGCCCCAGCTCTGTCCCCGGGCAGATGTGTTTGTTTCCCTGTTTGCTGTTGGCTTCCCTCCTAGACTGGGGAAGTGGACGACGGACAGCCCGGGGCCTCGTCTGCCCATGTGTTCTGGGTATCTGTTTGCAAGAAAGGTTTTCATATCTTAAATAGCAGGAAAAAAACCCAGAGCACAGATAAAGGCCCATCCTGGTGTGAGAGTCCCACGAGCCTCACACTTGGGGCTCTCTCCGTGAGCACTCTGGGGACGTGGCAGCCGGGCCGCCCCTTTGGTGACCCACCTGGACCTGTTCTATCCCCGAAACACCTTCTTCAGGCCCTGACACGATACCCCACAGTCTCCTCCCTGCCCTGGAAGAGTAGGAGGCTGAACGGGGACCCCATCATGGGGTTGGATCTGTGGCAACATTTGCGCACGGGTTCTTTGCGCAGTGGCTGGGTGGGAGGCACCTGAGAAGCCAGCAGCTGGCTCAGAGCCACACAGCCGGGGAGCACGGGGCCTTTCCCCAGGCTGCGGTCCCCTCTTTTGGCCACCACATAGAAGTCAGTTTGAGGTACAGCTTAGTGCTTCCTGCCTGACTTCTTGGAGCCTCACTTTACCCATCTGTGAAATGGGTGTGACACTCATCGGAACCACGGAGCATGTAAGGCTCCCAGTATCACCAGGATAGGTGTCAGTGGACACAGAGTGTGAGGTGAGGGGCCCCTGCTGGTGAAGGAGGGAGGCAGGTCCTGTAAGGGGGACCTCACAGCTCTGCTCCCGTGGTGCCTCCATCCCCAGGCCTTGGGGTCCCAGTAGGAGGGAACCTCAGCTGGAGCCCAGGCTGTGCCTGGCTGGAGCTGGGATGGAGGCCACAGAGGCCACAGCCCTCCCAGGCCAGGCCAGGGTGCAGAGGTTTTGATCCAGGTGCTGACACCTGGCATGGCACCCTGCACCCACCAGCCTGCTCCCCAGTGGTCCCAGGGCAGCAGGTTTAGCCCTGGTTCCTGCAGCCGGCTCTGCCAAGTTAGGAGGGAAGTGGAGGCCTCGGAGGCCTCCAGGCCCCCTGCGAAGGACTTGGGGGAGAGGTGTGGGCTTCTGCAGCCCAATAGATGCTGACGGCGCCCCGTTCAGGGTGCAGCATTTTCAGGGGGTGTGGGCTGTGAGTCTGGGGTCCTCCAGGTAGCGCCTGCTGGTTCCGGCTCCCCCGCCCCGTCTGGAGCTCTGTGTACCCATCATAGATATTCAGGCATTCATTTGTTTATTCAGTGAATCTCATTGGTCCCTTCCTCCTGGTCCCCCAGGGCCGTGGCAGCAT